TCAAGGTTACTGGTAAAGCTGTAGTGTGTTGCTAAGGCTGGTGCCAGATTTCATGTTTATCGAAAATAGACACGTTTTCGCATGATTTTTATTTACCCATGTCTTTCTTGTTTACGTTTTGTGAGAAATGAAACCTGGTATGCGTGTAGTAAGGGGGAAATATTACTCTATATATAAGTAATGTGTGCTATATATATATAAATATATTTAACAAAATATGTGCGTGGCATCATTGCTCTAACCCTTGTGTACTGTTTTTTTTTTTTTCTCCATGCCTGTTTACACAAATATTTTTATTATCATCTTCACTATCATTACTGCAAATTGCATTTTGTACTTAATGCACACCGCTGTCACGCTTCCCTGCAGTGTCTGACGGGGCAGAGGAGAAGAGAGTGCTAACAATAGCTCTGTCAGAATCAAATGCGAGGTCGAGTGAGCGTGTGTGGAGACTAGCTACGTTTTTTCGCTATTCATCGTCTCTTATCAGAACATATCGCTCCCGGTTGACTACATCGGCTATACTTATTGGTGTCGTTAGAAACGCAAAAAAGAGATTTCTATCGAACACTAGCGAGACCTTCGTCCACAAGCATTCATATCTACACGTTCTCTTATGTATACGTATCACTATGCTCCTATACACATGCATGAATGTAAAAATACGTACATGTATAAACACATACATACATTCATATACAAATCAATGCACACATACACACACACACACACACACACACACACACACACACACACACACACACACACACACACACACACACACACACACACACACACACACACACACACACACACACACACACACACACACACACACACACACACACACACACACACACACACACATCTATTATGCATACTATATATATATATATATATATATATATATATATATATATATATATATATATATATATATATATACATACATATATACATACACTGTATATATATGTATATATACATAAATATACATGTATAGACAAATGTATACATATATATACATATCTGTATATATACACACACATATATATACAGTATATATATACATATACCAGTTGACAAATGTATAGAAGTTATGAATGAGAAAGAATATCTTCACAATAAAAGATATAATCGAAACCGGTCAAATACCTTGTGAAGATATTCATTCTCATTCATATCTTTTATGTGTATATATATATATATATATATATATATATATATATATATATATATATATATATATATGTGTGTGTGTGTGTGTGTGTGTGTGTGTGTGTGTGTGTGTGTGTGTGTGTGTGTGTGTGTGTGTATGCAGAAACAAAGACATAAAGATAAACATATGTATGTTTACATGTATAGAGTACACGCACACACACACACACACACACACACACACACACACACACACACACACACACACACACACATACATATATATATATATATATATATATATATATATATATATATATATATATATATGTATATGTATATATATATATATATATATATATATATATATATGTATATATATATATATATATATATATATATATATATATATATATGTATATATATACATACATATGTATATATATGCATATATATATGCATATACATATACATATACATTTATATATATATATATATATATATATATATATATATATATATATATATATATATATATATATATATATATACATTTATATATATACATATATATAAATGTATATATGTATATGTATATGTATATATATATATATATATATATATATATATATATATATATATATATATATATATATATGCATATATATATATATATATATATATATATATATATATATACATATATATATACATATACACACATGTGTATGTGTGTGTGTGTGTGTGTGTGTGTGTGTATGTGTGTGTGTGTGTGTGTGTGTGTGTGTGTGTGTGTGTGTGTGTGTGTGTGTGTGTGTGTGTGTGTGTGTGTGTGTGCGTGTGTGTGTGTGTGTGTTATAAACATGTAAACATGCATGTGTTTATCTTTATGTCTTTGTTTCTGTATATGCGTGCATAATTACATTCATATACGTATATATACGTGTATGGGTATCCGCGTGGATGACTGTTCATACACCTATACACGTATATACACATACGCCTATTTATAGACGTAGGTATGTTTATAGAAAGAGAAAGAAAAACTAATAATAAAAATAAAAAATAAAAAGAGAAAAAATCGTAAAAAATTAAGTAAGTAAATGATGTTCTTAAAATAAAACAATATTATCGCTATCATTATTATCATCATTGACACTATTATTATTATTATCATTATTGTTGTTATCATTATCTTTATCATTATCATTATTATCATAACCATTTTTATTACTATAAGCATTATTTTTATCATCATTATTATCATCATTGTTGTTGTTGCTATCATTATAGAAACGCAAACAATTTATTTATATACGGAGATCTTGCAGGAAACCGATTGCTGGTATTTTCTCCCCCATCGTTAAAGCTTGAGCATAATTGTTTTCTACTAATAATACTAATATTGACACTACTACTACTAATAGTGGTAATGATCATAATAATAATGATAATAGTAATAGTGATAATAATGATGATAATAATAATGATAATAATGATAATAATAATATCAGTAAAAATAACAATGACGATTATGATAATGCTGATATTAGTAATGACATTAATAATAATAATGATAATATTAATAATAATGATAAAGATAATAATAACGATAGTGGCTGTCCATGGATTGGTCTAATATTAATTCAAAACATTAATTTCACGTAACCTGTTGTATTACGTAAATATATTTATAAAAAAAAAAGGTTATTTAAGTTTTGTAAAGGGTTTTTGTAAGCATCTCCGTTTTTCTTACACGAACGCTTGAGGTATTGCAAAGGCGATGACGGTGAGGGCGCAAAGTAGGCGCGTCTTTTCACCCATACCTGTCAGAGAGCACGGTGCTCACCTGCATTCTCGTGAGTTTGTATATATTGTCAACGGGGACTTCCTGTTAATCATGGAATTCTTGGAATATCATATAATTGTTCAGTTTGCAATCCACTTATTTCTTTTTTCAGTTTTAATATAGTAACAAAGTCCGATGCAGTAACTCCAATAAGGGAATGGGCGAAACGGGAGTAGCCGTAATAGCGCCCCACTCCGTTCTCAACAGGACGACTTGCCGTTTTCTCTGGATTTACAACAAGGGACTACCATAGAAAACGGATTTATGTTTATTATGAAAAGTGTAAATATATTGCTGATTATGAATAATTGTTTATTTACCCGCCTCTAATAGTGTCATATGAAGTGATGAAGTATCTAAAAAGTGGCTAACATTAAAAGAACCTACCACAGTGGCAATAGTAATAATAAAAATAAAGATAATAATAATTATGATAATAATAGTAATAATTATAATAATGATAATGATAACAATAATGATAATAATGATAATAAAAATAATAAAATAATGATAATGGTAATAACAATAAAAATTGTAATAATAATAATAATAATAACAATAATAATAATAATAATGATAATTAATAATAATGATAATAATAATGATGACAATAATAGCGATACTGATAACAATGATGAAAAGGAGGAAAAAAATAATGAAAGTAAGAAGAGACCAGTAGTAGAGGCAGTGCTAATAGTAACCTGAGTAGTAGTAAAAATTTTAGCAGTTGTAGTAGTAATGATAATAATAACGATAATGATAATAATAATGATAGCAGTCGTATCGGTGGTGCTAATAGTGGTAATATTCATAATTATATTAGTAGTAGTAATAATAGTTGTATCAATATCATCGATAACTATAATGATGATAGTAATAATGATGATGGTACTAGTAATGGTGATTATATTACTACTATTACTGCTGCTAATGCGATAATAGAAATAATGATAGTAATGATAGTAATAATGATAATAATAATAATGATAATGATAATAATAATGATAATAATGATAATAATAATAATGATAATAATAATAATAATAATAATAATAATAATAATAATAGTAATAATAATAATAATAATAATAATAATAATAATAATAATAATAATAATAGTAGTAGTAGTAGTAGTAGTAATAATAATAATAATAATATTGATATTAAAAATAATAATGATAATGATAGTGATAAAATAAATAATTATAATAATTATAGCGATAGCAATGATAATGGTGATAGATAATTATACCACTAATAATAAGAATAATGATAATGATAATAATAATGATAATAGCAACAACAACAATGATGATAATAATGATAATAGCAACAACAACAATGATGATAATAATGATAATAGCAACAACAACAATGATGATAATAATGATAATAACAATAATGATGATTATAATAATAACAATGATTATGACAATAATAATAATGATAATGATAACAATGATAATAATGATAATAATAATGATAACAATAATGATAATAATGATAATGAGAATAATAATGGTAATAATAATAACAATAATAATAATGGTAATAATAATAACAACGATAATAATAATAATAATAATAATAATAATAATAATAATAATAACAATAATGATAATAATAATAATAATAATAATAATAATAATAATAATAATTATAGAAATAAGAATAGTAATGGTAATAATAATGATAATAATGGTAATAATGATGAAGATAATCATAATAACAGTGATAATAATAATAATTATAGCAATAATGATGATAATAATGATAATCCCAATAATGATAATAATAACAAATACAATAACATAAAAATGAAACAGTAATAACAACAGAAAAAAAAACAATAAAAACAATATCAATATTGTGCAATGTTCAAATAGTGCAGAGAAAAACCAATAAAATGAAAGAGGATATAGACTTGTAATAGAGTAGCTGGTTCGGTGTTGTGACGTTGGGAGAAGAAGAGCTATATTGGTGTTATTTGAAG